CCCCCCCCCCCCCGCCCCGCCCCCGCCGCTCTTTCGGGGCGGCGGCCGCTTTAAAAATGCAAATGAGCCCCCTCCCCGCGCGCGGCGCGGCGGCTCCTCAGCCAATAGGAGCCGGCAGCCGCTGGCTGCGGTCACCGCTGCCGGGCGCCTCAGCCAATGGCGACGCGGCTCGGCGGGAGGGGGCGTGGCCAGCACCGCCCCCGGGGTCCCGTCCCGGAGTGCCCCCGGCGCGCCGTCCCCCGGCCCCGCCGTTCCCGCGCGGGTTCCCCCCCGCCGCCCCCGCAGCATCGCCCTCACCGGGGTGCGGGGGTGCGTACCGGAGATCCCCCCCTCCCCTCGCTGTGCACCGCGCCCCGCTGCACCGCACCGCCCCGGCGCCCACCGTTACTAACGCCCCGGTGCACCGGCGCAGCCCCCGCTGGCCACGAGCCCGCTCCCGGTGCTGCGGGCGGCCCCCCCGCCGCCCCCCCCCGCTGCAGGTGCAGGGCTCGCTTCGCCGCTTTCCCTCCTTTTTTATTTTTGGGGTGCACGCCCCAATAATAACCCCTCCCTCCCCCCGCGGTGCCTCCGGTTCCCGGGGGGTTTTGGGGTGCGCAGCCCCCGCCCCGCTCTCCCCCCGCGTTCCCGAACCGAGCCCCCCCACTCCGCTCCCCCCGCATCCTCCGGGGGGTCCCCCGCGCCCCCCGCTGAAGGTCACGGCTGCGGCTGGCCCGAACCGCCCGGTTTTGGGGCGCGGGGTTGTGGGGGGGTCCCTGCCGCAGCCCCCCCACCCCGCACCCCCCGTCCCGCTCGGGGACTCGGTGGCCGCGGGGACTTTGGCCGGCGCCGCGTTCGTGGCGTTTGCGGCCGCCCGGGACCGGCGGGGCTCGGTTTGGGGGGGGGCGTCCTGCGAGCCCCGAGCTCCCCCCGCGACCCCTCCCAGCTTTCCCCTCCCTCTTTACCGGGGGGGGGCCGCGCTGAGCCCGCCCCGCTCGTGACACAGGTGGCGGAGCCCGTGCGGAGGGACCGGGCAGCGGGGGGGGCTCGGAGCGGGTTTGGGGGGGCTGCAGCGTGCCCTGACCCCCCCTTGAACCCCCTGCAGACCCCCGGCACGCCGAGGATGCTCGGGGGGACCCCGCGAACCCCCCAAGAGCTCAGGGTGAGTCCGGGGGGGGCCTCCCCCGGTGGCGCCAACCGGGCGCGAATTTTTGGGGTTTCCTGTTTTTCTGCGGTGCATGATGGGGAGCGGGGCCGGGGGGGGTTTGGGCTGCTCAGACGCTGCTCCCGGTGGTCCCAGGGGGAAAGGGGGTGTGGGGGGTCCCTTGGGATTTGGGGTCTGAGGTGGGGGCTCCCCTGGCAGGGCGAGAAGAACCACGGCTTCGACGTCCTCTACCACAACATGAAGCACGGGCAGATCTCCACCAAGGAGCTCGCCGACTTCGTCCGGGAGAGGTACCCGGGGCTGGGGACAGCCTGGGGGCTCCCCAGAACCCTTCGGGGGGGTCCCTAAAACCCTGCCTCCATCCCAAATCCCCCTCCCCGCCATCCCCAGGGCCGCCATCGAGGAGAACTACGCCAAGGCCATGGTGAAGCTGTCGAAGATGGCCACGAACGGGACGCAGCTGGGGTACGGGGGGCTCTGGGCCGCTTTGAGGTGGCTTTGGGGACACCCCGGTGACCGTTGTGGTGGCCCCCGAGCAGGACCTTCGCGCCTCTCTGGGAGGTTTTCCGCATCTCCTCGGACAAGCTGGCGCTGTGCCACCTGGAGCTGATGAAGAAGCTGCACGACCTCATCAAGGAGATCTCGCGCTACGGCGAGGAGCAAGGCCGGGTGCACAAGAAGGTAGCGCTGTCCCCTCCCCGGGGCTGTCCCCTCCCCCGGTGTGCCCTGCCCACGCCGCCGTGTCCCCGCAGTCCAAGGAGGAGGTGTCGGGGACGCTGGAGGCCGTGCAGCTGCTGCACGGCGTGGCCCAGCTGCTGCCCAAGTCCAAGGAGAGCTACCACAGCAAGTGCCAGGAGTACGAGCGGCTGCGCAAGGAGGGCACCAGCCAGAAGGAGATCGACAAGGTGCCACCCCCGGTGTCACTGGGACCCCCCCCTCAGCGGTTCTCGTGTCCCCCTGGGTGGTCCCTGGCTCCTCTTGGTGGTTCTTGTCCTTTCCTTGGTGGTCTCTGGCCCCTCGTGGTGGTTCTTGTTCCTCCTCTCTGCGGTCTCTGTCACCCCCTGTGTCACCTCTCTCAGTGGTCTGTGTCCCCTCCCTGGTGATTCTTGACCCTCCCTCGATGGTCCTGTTGTCCCACAGTGGTCCCTGTCCCCCCCAGGAGGTCCCTGTCCCCTCCCTGATGGTTCCTGTCCTTGTCCTGGCTGTCCCCTGTCTCCTGGTTGTCCCCGGCTGTCCCCTGTCCCATTCCCGATGGTTCCTGTCCTTGTCCCAGCTGTCCCTTGTCCCCCTGGGTGGTCTCTGTCCCATTCCTGATGATCCCTGTCCTTGTCTCGGCTGTCCCCTGGCTGTCCCCTGTCCTATTCCTGACAATCCCTCTCATTCCCCTGGCTGTCCCCTGTCCTCTCCCTGATGATCCCTGTGTCCCTGGCTGTCCCTTGTCCCCTCCCTGATGATCCCTGTCCTTGTCCTGGCTGTCCCCTGGCTGTCCCCTGTCCTATTCCTGACAATCCCTCTCATTCCCCTGGCTGTCCCCTGTCCTCTCCCTGATGATCCCTGTGTCCCTGGCTGTCCCTTGTCCCCTCCCTGATGATCCCTGTCCTTGTCCCGTCTGTCCCCGGCTGTCCCCTGGCTGTCCCTTGTCCCCTCCCTGATGATCCCTGTCCTTGTCCTGGCTGTCCCTGGCTGTCCCCTAGCTGTCCCTGGCTGTCCTCTGGCTGTCCCTTGTCCCCTCCCTGATGATCCCTGTCCTTGTCCCGGCTGTCCCCGGCTGTCCCCGTGCCCGGCGGTGGCGCAGGCGGAGCTGAAGTCGCGCAAGGCGGGCGAGGCGCTGCGGAGGGCGGTGGACAAATACAACGCTGCCCGCGCCGACTTCGAGCAGCGCATGCTGGACTCTGCCATGGTGGGCACGGCTGGCACCTGGGGAGAGGGGTGGGAACTGATGGGATTTGGGAAAGGGATGGGCATTGGGGGCATGTGGGCAGGGATGGGCACGGCTGGGAATTGGGAAAGGATGGGAACTGATGGGAACTGGGAAAGGGATGGGCATTGATGGGAGTTGGGAAAGGGATGGACATTGATAGGACGTGGGCAGGGATGGGCATGGGGGCATGTGGGCAGGGATGGGCACTGCTGGGAGTTGGGAAGGCATGGGAACAGATGGGATTTGGGAAAGGCATGGGCACAGCTTGGAATTGGGTGTGGTTGGGCATTGGTGGAATTTGGGAAGAGATGGGATCCCTGGGGACATCCCACCCATCCCAAACCCTTTCCTGCCCACCTGGGGACATCCCACCCATGTCAACCCCCTTTCCCTGCCCACCTGGGGACATCCCACCCATGTCAACCCCCTTTCCCTGCCCACCTGGGGACATCCCACCCATCCCAACCCCCCTTCCCTGCCCACCTGCTGATCCCTGGGGGTGTCCCCCCCATTCCTGCCCCCCGTTTTTCCCGCTCCAGCGCTTCCAGGAGGTGGAGGAAGCCCACCTGCGGCACATGAAGGGGCTCATCGGCTCCTACTCGCACTCCGTGGAGGACACCCACGTCCAGATCGGCCAGGTGAGTCCCCAGGTGAGTGACCCCTCCCCATCCCCCTTTTGTCCCCTTTATTCCATGTCCCCTTCCCTTTTTTCCCCCCCAGGTCCACGAGGAGTTCAAGCAGAACGTGGAGAACATCGGCACGGAGATGCTGCTGCGGAGGTTTGCCGAGAGCAAGGGCACGGGCAGAGAGCGGCCAGGTGAGCCTGGGGGTCCCACCTGGATCCCTGATCCCGGCTGATCCCAGCTGATCCCAAGCTGATCCCAGGCTGATCTGATCCCGAGTTGATCCCGGCTGATCCCAGCTGATCCCAGCTGATCCCAGCTGATCCCAGGCTGATCTGATCCCGAGTTGATCCCAGCTGATCCCGGCTGATCCCAGCTGATCCCAGCTGATCCCAGGCTGATCCCAGGCTGATCTGATCCCGAGCTGATCGTGGCTGATCCCAGCTGATCCCAGGCTGATCTGATCCCGAGTTGATCGTGGCTGATCCCAGGTTGATCCCAGCTGGTCCTGGGTTGATCCCAGGCTGATCCCGGGTGTTCCCGGGCTCATCCCGGTCTGATGCTGGGTTGATCCCGGCTGATCCCATGCTGATCCCAGGTTGATCCTGGGCTGATCCTGGCTTGATCCCAGCTTGATCCTGGGTTGATCCTGGGCTGATCCTGGCTGATCTTGGGTTGATTCCAGTTGATCTTGGGCTGATCCTGGCTTGATTGTGGCTGATCCTGTGCTGATCCTGGGCTGATCCCGGGTTGATCCCAGGTTGATCCCGGGTTGATCCTGGGCTGATCCTGGGTTGATCCCAGCTGATCCCGGGTTGATCCCGGGTTGATCCCGGCTGATCCCGGGTTGATCCCGGTCTGATCCCGGTCTGATCCTGGCTGATCTTGTGTTGATCCCGGGCTGATCCCGCCCGGGCTGATCCCTCTCTCCGTGGCAGGAGCGTTGGATTTCGATGAGTACCGGCTGGCTCCAGCGCAGGAAGGCAAGTACGTCTGCACCCAGCTGGGGGTGCCGGGGGCTGCGGAGACCCTTCCTCACCCCGCTCCCGCTTTCCCCAGGACCCAAGAGGAGCCGGAGCAAAGCGTTCCGGATCCCGGGCTTGAGCCGTAAGGAGCGGGAGCGTGACGCTGTGTAAGAGCCTCAATCCCGGCATCCCGGAGTTCCTGCATCCTGGCATTCCCACTTTCCACATCCTGGCATCCCTGCATCCCGGCATTCCCACATTCCATATCCCTGCATCCATGCATGGTTTTATCCCTGAATTCCTGGATCCCTGCATTCCTGCATCCCTGCATTGTTTCATCCCTGAATTCCCACACCCCTCAATTCCCACATCCCTGCATTCCCACATCCCTGAATTCCCATATCCCCACATCCCTGAATTTCCAAATCCCTGAATTCCCACATCCCTGCATCCCTGAATTTCCACTTTCCCACATCCCTGAATTCCCATATCCCCACATCCCTGAATTCCCACATCCCTGAATTCCCCCATCCCTGCATCCCACCCCCCTTCCCTCTCCCCCGCCTGACTCTCCCGGTCATTCCCAGGGAATCTCCGGATAACGACCTGGTGAGTGTCCCGGTGCCCCGCCCTGGAGCTGCCGTTCCCAGACTGGGAGCGCTGGGAATGTCGGGGGTGTCCCCGCAGGGCTGCCCCGAGGTGGACGAGGACGGATTCACCGTGCGCCCGGACAGTGCCCGCAGTATCCTTGGACGAGCGGGAAAATTGGGGATCCAGGGGGAATTCTGAGCGGGAATTCGGGGGATTCAAGGGGAATTCGGGGGATTCAAGGCGAATTCCAAATGGGGACTTTGGGATCCGGGGGAATTCTGAGTGGGGATTTGGGATCCGGGGGAATTCTGAGCGGGGATTTGGGGGATCCAAGGGGAATTCCAAATGGGGAATTTGGGATCCAGGGGAATTCTGAGCGGGGATTTGGGATCCAGGGGGAATTCTGAGCGGGAATTTGGGATCCGGGGGCATTCTGAGTGGGGATTTGGGGGATTCAAGGGGAATTCAAAAGGGGAATTTGGGATCCGGGGGAATTCCAAAGGGGAATTTGGGATCTGGGGGAATTCTGAGCAGGGATTTGGGGGATTCAAGGGGAATTCCAAATGGGGAATTTGGGATCCAGGGGAATTCCAAAGGGAAATTTGGGATCCAGGGGAATTCTGAGCGGGGATTTGGAGATCCCGGGGGGAATTCCAGCTGGGGAATTTAGGGGATCCAGGGAGAATTTCAGCTGGGGAATTTGGGGATCCAGGGGGAATTCTGACTGGGAATTTTGGGATCCAGGTGGAGGAAAATTGGGGATCCAGGGGGAATTCTGAGCGGGAATTCGGGGGATTCAAGGGGAATTCGGGGGATTCAAGGCGAATTCCAAATGGGGACTTTGGGATCCTGGGGGAATTCTGAGTGGGGATTTGGGATCCGGGGGAATTCTGAGCGGGGATTTGGGGGATCCAAGGGGAATTCCAAATGGGGAATTTGGGATCCAGGGGAATTCTGAGCGGGGATTTGGGATCCAGGGGGAATTCTGAGCGGGAATTTGGGATCCGGGGGCATTCTGAGTGGGGATTTGGGGGATTCAAGGGGAATTCAAAAGGGGAATTTGGGATCCGGGGGAATTCCAAAGGGTAATTTGGGATCTGGGGGAATTCTGAGCAGGGATTTGGGGGATTCAAGGGGAATTCCAAATGGGGAATTTGGGATCCAGGGGAATTCCAAAGGGAAATTTGGGATCCAGGGGAATTCTGAGCGGGGATTTGGAGGATCCAAGGGGAATTACGCCTGGGGATTTGGGGATCCAGAGGGAATTCTGACCAGGGATTTGGAGATCCCGGGGAGAATTCCAGCTGGGGAATTTAGGGGATCCAGGGAGAATTTCAGCTGGGGAATTTTGGGATCCAGGGGGAATTCTGACTGGGAATTTTGGGATCCAGGTGGAATTCTGACCAGGGATTCTTGGGGATCCAGAGGGAATTCTGAGCAGGCATTTTGGGGATCCAGGGGAATTCCAGCTAGGCATTTTTGGGGGACCCAAAGGGAATTCCAGCTGGGGATTTTCAGGATCCAGAGGGATCTGAATTCTGACCGAGCATTTCTGGGGGATCCAGGGAGAATTCCAACTGGGGATTTTTGGGGGATCCAAGGGGAATTCCAACTGGGGATTTTTGGGGGATCCAAGGGGAATTCCAGCTGGGGATTTTTGGGGAATCCAAAGGGAATTCCAAGAAAGGATTTTTGGGGAACCCAAGGACAAGTCCAAGCAAGGATTTTTGGGGAACCCAAGGACAATTCCAAGCAGGGATTTTTGGGGCAACCAAGGACAACTCCAGCTGTGGATTTCTGGGGGATCCAAGGGTAATTCCAGGCGGGCATTGCCTTGACGGGGGCCCAGGCGAGGCGGAGAATCCCGGCTGTTCCTCCAGCGACTCCGACTACGACGAGGACGAGCCGCGCAAGTTTTACGTCCACATCAAACCGGTGCAGCCGCGGGAGGCGCCCGGCAGCGCCGAGGCCACCGTGGAGCAGCTCAAGGCCACCGTGGGAAATCTCATCCTGGCCCCCGGCGTCGGGGTGAGCCTGGGGGGCCGCGGGGACCCCCGGAATTCCCGGGGTCACCTCACCCCTGTCCCCTTCTCTTGCAGGGCACCGTCAGGAGGCAGGCGTCCCGTAAGTGGCACTGCGGGCGGGTGGTGGCCTGGGAGGGTGGCACTGAGGCTGAGAGCCACTGCTTGGGGACATCTCATCCTTCCTGAGCCCCTGCCTTGGGGACAATGCCACCCTTCCTGAGCCCCTTCCTTGGGGACATCCCACCCTTCCTGAGCCCCTTCCTTGGGGACATCCCATCCTCCTGAGCCCCTGCCTTGGGGACATCCCATCTTTCCTGAGCCTCTTCCTTGGGGACATCCCACCCTTCCTGAGCCCCTGCCTTGGGGACAATGCCACCCTTCCTGAGTCCCCTTTGTTGGGGACATCCCATCATTCCTGAGTCCCCTTACTTGCAGACAGTGCCACACTTCCTTAAACCCAATCCTTGGGGACAATGCCATACTTCCTTAAACCCAGTCCCTGGGGACAGTGCCACCTTCCCTGAGCCCCATTCCCTGTCTGCTTGCCGAGCCCTGGGGACACCCCACTCTTCCTGAGCCACCCTGGAGTCCCCGTGGCTCCGTGTCCCCTCACGGTGACATCCCCCCGCAGGACACACGGCGTCCCTGACCCCAGCCTGCAGTGACACGGACCCCGAGGGGACGCTGGCGGCCGGTGAGACTGGGCGGGGGGGTCCTGAGGATTTGGGGGGCACCTGAGGGGTCCTGTGAGGGGTGCAGTGCAGTGTCCCCTCTCCCCGCAGGTGACAGCACGGGGAGGGGTCTCCCGGCGGCGCAGGTGAACAGGTAGGGGACAGGGAGGGATTGGGGCGCCATGGGGGGGGCACCCCCGTCCCTGGGGGGTCCCGGGCAGGCTCTGAGCCCCCCCCACTCTGTCCCTGTCCCAGCGGCCCAGGGAAGCCCCCCCAGGACACGCCACCCTCGGCCGCGCTCTTCGGGCCCCCCCTGGAGTCGGCGTTGGAGGCAGAGGAATTCCCGGGTGAGGATTTGGGGGGCGCGGGACGAGACCCCCCGGCAGGGCGGGGGCCGCGCTCTGACCGGGGCCGTCCCGCAGCCCCCCGCTCCTACGTCCTCACCTCGTCCTCGTCTCCCTTCTCCTCCTCGTCCCCGGAGAACGTGGAGGACTCGGGGCTGGACTCGCCCTCGCACCCCGCTCCCGGTCCCTCCCCGGACTCCCGGCCCTGGACCCCGCAGCCGGGGACGCCGCAGAGCCCCGGCCCCAAAGCGGAGCCGCCCCCCGCCAGCAGCGCCTGGACCCCGCGGCCCCGCAGCCCCTCCGGCCGCCTCCCCGAGCCCCCCAACTTCGCCGTTTTCAGCGGCCCCGGAGCCGAGGGGCTCTGGGGGGACGCGGGGGTCGCGCCCCGGGGTCGCAGCCGCTGCCTCAGCGGCCCCGCCCCACGAGAAGCGCCCTCGCCGGACCCTTTTGGGGACCCCCCGGCCTGGGGCAGACCCCGCAGCCCCGGTGGGGAGCAGCCCCCCCTGACGCGTCCTTCCTCCAACTCGGCCTCCTCGTCGTCCTCCTCGCCGGCCCCCCCGAGCGGGGGGGAGTCCTCCAGCCCCTCTCCCTGGGGCTGTCCAGGGCCGGGGGCCCGGCTGGGCGAGGGGGGCACGGCCGGGACCCCCCCGCTGCCGTCGGAGCCGGGTGAGTGGTGGGGGAGCGGCCCCAGGGTACCCCAAAACGTGACTGCCACAGCCCCCAGCTCTGCCCCCAATATCCTTAACCCTGCCCCCCCCGCTGCCTCTAAATCTGCCCCCATCACCCCAAATTCTGTCCCGAGTGACCCCAAACTGTGCCCCCATGACCCCAAACTCTGCCCCCATGATGCCAAACTCTTCCCCCCAATTAGCCTGAACTGTGCCCCCCACAACCCCAAACTCTGTCCTGAGTGACCCCAGACTCTGTCCTCCATTACCCTTAACCCTGCCCCCCCATCACCTCTAAATCTGCCCCCATGACCCCAAACTGTACCCCCCAATTAGCCTGAACTGTGCCCCCCATGACCCCAAACTCTGCCCCCCAACACCCAAATCTGCCCCCATAATGCCAAAATCTGCCCTCATCACCCCCAAATCTGCCCCCCATCACCCCAAAACCGAGCCCTGCCCAACTCCCGGAGGGTGTTCCTGGATTCGGGGAGGTGGCGAGGGGTCCTGCCGTGTCGGGGCTCTCCCCTCACCCCCCG